CACACACACACACACACACACACACACACACACACACACACACGTGGATCACGTCAAGCTTTTAGCCAAGCCTTCTCAGCTCTTACGCGCAGACACACCCTCACACACGTCGCTCGCCCCCACACCTCCCCTTCTGTCTCAGTCAGTGTGCAGCGGCAGCAGCGGAGGGTGGAGGACGTGCTGAACGCAGTCACGGAGGCTTCTGGCGCACAGCCGAGCCGTCATGAGCCGCTCAGCGGAAGTGGACGCCGCTGCGGAGGAGGAGGGGGCTGAATAGAAGAGAGAGAGAGACTGTGTTCTAATTAAATGTCTCACGCTCTCCGTGTGCATCATGCTGTATTTCCAGCTGGTGATCATGGCCGGGACCGTCATGTTGGCCTACTACTTCGAATACACCGACACCTTCACCGTGCACGTGCAGGGCTTCTTCTGCTACGACACCACGTACACCAAACCGTACCTGGGGCCGGAGGACAGCAGCGCCATCCCACCCGTGCTGCTGTACGCCGCGGTGGCCGGGCTGCCCACGCTGCTGGTGAGTGCACACCTGACCTGGCCGCATCAAGCCTCACTGACACTGATTGTGCTGTCACACTGTCGACGGCTGGCTGCTGCTGTGCTGCTGTAGCTGTACGCTGGAGTCATGCAGTGCAGGATGAAATGCATCAGTGCCGTTTGTTTCTCTGTGGCTGGAGCAGAATAAGAGCCTTTAGAAAGTCACTCTAGCTTATGGGACTTTCAAGATAATCAAGGATTATTAGAATATACACTAATGAGATCTGCCCACTAACGCACACTGATCAGTCTGATTCAGTATTCGTAGTATTCACAGAACGAGATGTAACAAGTTTTTGGTGTTTTCAGCTTCCATGTAGCATGCACCGTCTACAGCTTCATCTTTAGTGCAAATTATAACACAAAATGTGAAAGAAGCGGTTCCCCAAATCATAAAACGCAGCATTTGAGTCATTGTTTTCCATCACTCCAGACTGAAGATTCTTTCATGTTTATTACATCTCATCATAGAATGAATGACCATCGGGCCACCTTTTCTCAGCGTGGGTATTTTATTTATTTACAAATTTAAATGTTTTTATTAATTAGAAGAAAGAAAGCAAACAAAACATTGAACATCATGAAGGTTAGAAATGTTATAACACTCACACCAAGGACAAACGCTCAGTGTTGTGCGTGGACCCGACTTTGATGTTTATGGTGCCGATTTTTTTATCTTATCGTTGCTACTTTTGACTGTTTCAGCCACGTCTGCTGGGATGTCTGAAATAAGCAAAAGCTAAAGCGTAATAAAGAAGCTGAAGTGAGAAATCCCTGTGGAGTCAACAGACTCAAATATAGCAGTTGCTGCAGTTCCTCTCTACCCGCATCACAACCATCAGTGTGATGAACTCTTATCAGCTTATAGCGTTATGTTAGCGTACCTCTTTGGCTGCTGCATGCTCAGCTAGATTGACACTGTAACTCTGTAGTGTACTGACCGCTGATGCTGGAACTGAGGTTGGTAAAAAAAAAAGACAAACAAGCTCACCCTGTGAATAACATAGTAAATATAAATAGTTATTTGTTATCTTATGTGCAGAACTTTGTGATTCTGTGTAGAAAGGTGCTATATAAATGAAATTGCATTTATTATTATTTATTTATAGTTTACACAGTCATTTTATCTGTCTTTGAATTACAGACTGGTGTAGCTTTAAGACTAATCTGCTTGATGTTCACTGAGATACAGTATATAACAACATCATAGATGATTATCCCTGTCAGAACTCAGTCAGAAAGTTAAAAGGTGACAATTTTGCGGGTTTATTAAACCTGGGAATCATCTGGGAGAGAAGGAGATGATACATACTTCACTCTTTGATGCTCTCACGTCTCAGATGCAGCTCCTGCAGCTTCCTGCTTGATCTTAACCTTTCCTTAGTATCTGACTCACAGTACACTCTACCGTGCTTCCTGGCTAATGTCCAACGGCTCTCTCATCAGCTTTTCCAATTACAAGCCGACTGTGCACTGAAGTTCAAATGCAAGCCCGAGCAGTGCAGCTTGAATGTTAAGTGCAGTTATTACTGCTGCAGTCGCTGACAGTGCAGGCTGAGCTTACATA